CCGCCGGGGTGGGGGCTGAGCGCTGCCCGGGGTCGCGGCCCGCCGCCAGCCACCTTCCGCGCCGCGGCCCGGGCGAGCGTCAGTCTCCTCCTTTCCGTCCCGGGGGGGCTGAGCTCCGCGGTTCCGGATTTCTCCGGCGTCACGGCGGGAGGAAGGCCGGGGCCGGCCTGGCTCTCGGCGGCCGGCCCGGGGCAGGGGGCGGGGGGCAGGCGGCGGCTCCTAAGGGCAGTCTCCCGGCAGCGGCCGACACCTTGCCCTCTTCCCGTCCCCACAGGCCTTCGCCCGGCCACGGGGCCGTGGCGCGGAGGCGGGCTGGGCTGGGTGTAACAGGCCCGGTGGCCTGGTCGGAGGGGAAGGCCACACTCGGCTGGAGCGGACGCCTGCCCAGGGCCTGGTGGCAACCACTCTGCCCTTCCACGAAACCCAGACCTCCCGGCATTCTGCACGTCCCCAGCCACATCCTCGGCCCAAGCAGCAAGTACAAAGTGATACCCTGTTCTCCCTGGGCACGCTGTGCCCTGGGTGAGTGACTGTCAGCAGGCGTCCGAGCAGGTGCTGCGGGGGCACGGCTGGGCAAGCGAGAGGCATTCACCCGCTTCGGGGTGTCTGCCCAGTTGTTGGTAGGGAGCTTTTCGTCAAAGGCCTGGTGCAGCTGTTGACTCTCCTTCGAATTAAGAGCCTGGATTTAAAATAAAGAGACGGTTCAGAAGGTACACGTGAAACGTCATAGTCTTCCCCTCTTCCTCACAATGGACACTCAGTCCTCGAAGGGCTTCTCTGAAGTCCCATCATTGTAATTCGGTGGCACCTGCCCTGGGCAAATGCGCAGTACCTCTGCTATAGATCACAGTCAGCTGCATATACCAGTTAACAGGCAATTTTGGCTCCTGCTTTCTCCCCCAAGTAATCTTAGAAATTACCTGATCACCGTTCCTATTTGGAAGGAGGCTTCTTATTGAAAACAGAGCATATGAAGTTGGTAATTCTCACATCCGAAAAACTTCGCTATCTTCTTGCATACTGCTTCTTTATCAGCCAGTTAGAACAATCAAAACCATGAGATCTTTCATGAGTCTTACATTAGTCTTTTCTTCTGTCAATAAGCAAATGATCCACAACACTTCTTGTAGAATAGGAAGAAGTTTTTTGAATATTTGATCCTTGCAAACCACATTGATTTAATCATGTATTTCAGTTAAACAGAAGAAAAACATCATCGGGGAATTCTTCCCAAGGCAGCTAAGAGAATATACAGTTTAACAATTACATAATTAGGTTGAGAAAACAGCAATAAGTGTTACAATAAAAATATGCAGCAAAGTTACATTTCTTCAATAGGTCAATGCAAATAAAGTTATTTTGGGGGGATGACAGTTGTCTTTCCAAGGCACAATGCCGCAGAATACTGGGAACATTTTTACATTCCTCAGATAGGAGGCAGCATGTGTGCTAAGTACTAATATTAATAATTCAATTAAATAATATTTTGATGCCCTCGACTCTCTTTGCTTCGTTCTTGCCAGTATAGCTTTTAGCTTTCATCCCGGGGGGGGAGAGGTACCAGGAAGCTGCTTAAAGGGCTACATATTTGGGGGATTCTTTGTTACATTGAAACAGAAGTGTATCTGAGTAACTTACAATTCTGGAGAAATGTATGCTGAAGACAATACAGGATGTTAATGGCAGGCTGCAAATTTTTATAACCTAATTTATACTCCTTAAATTTTTTTCATTTCATTTATTTTCTCCAGTGACTCAGCTTCTTTATCCTCCTGAAAAAGATGAGCACTTAAAATCTGTTGCAGCAGTTAGAAACCATATCAGTCAGCAGTACTTTCCAGTGATGCTTTTCATGCAACCATCTGCACAGATAGGCTTCATGAGCAGATAAGAATAAGAAAGCAGATAAGTATAAGAAAATTTTGTGTCTTCGATTGACATAAACCTCTTTAAAGTTTTATGCATTTTTCTCATTTTTATCTCCTTTTTTGCATTAAGTGACGAGAGACTGAGGGAAAATTAAATTGCTCTTAGTCAGGGCAAGGCAGACAGTGAAGAGCTGTGGGCTTTGCCAACATTATGTGGATTTTCAAACTTAAATTTTTTCAAAGACACAGTGGTCATTGTCATTTTTGAGAGTGGCTGAGAATAAAGTGCAGATTGGTGTGAATGCAATGCTTAATTGAGTCTTTTTACCAAGGGGAGAGAAGGTCGTGTTGCTTCTGTTCCATTACTTATAAAAGCATTGCTGCCTGAATATCCAGTGTGCGTGAAGCGGACGCTGCTTGAACTTTATAGCTGTGTAACTGACCCCAAAATAAGTGCAGGAAGTGGTTTATAGAGTGATATTATGAATGCCAAAAAACATTCAGGTTATTAATTCTTGCATATGTTTCCTGTTTAACTCTGTCCTTCGCAGTCACCTTAGCCTTGCTCAGTGCCACCATTCTTGGAAGGTACTTTTTGAAAAGCAGCGGTGCCCTGGTGCCCTGTATGTTGATAAATAAAGTGCCAGACCATGCAGCAAAGAGCTAGGTAAAAATCACAGTTTAGATGTTTGAATTACTCCAGAAATAAACAGGATTCCTTCTTGCTTTTCCCTAGCAGCACAGTTCTTAGGCATGGAAGACTGCAATTCTAAAACTCTTTGGAATCTATTTATTCTTACAGATTTTTTTTTTTTTTGAAAGCATGTTTGTAACTGAATTGTGTTTGTTGGAAACCAGATGTGGTTTGTGATAGGCTTGTATTGTGGGTCCTGTGGAATCAAAACTTCAGATGATGCCAGTGAGGATAGAAGCAGTACAGTGATTCTGGACAGCGCACTAAAGAAGCTGAATTTTTGACCTGCAATACAATAAAAATTAGAAAGGTTTTGGATGAGCTGCTCATGTTTGTTCACATTTCTTTATGATTGAGAGTGCTGTGCTGGGTCATAATCCAGCATCTGATTGTACTTACCAACTTCGCTCTTTGAATTAGGCTACACACAACTCTATTGCTAGGAAGTGATACACTGTGCTGTAAGCTGTATATAAACAGGTCAGTGGATGCTCTCTGCTGTAAAAAAACATACTCCTTTCAACTTGGTCATTACTATTTCTAGGTGAACACTGAACTTACAGTAACAATATGACAGTTTGGGTTTTTACCTTTGTACCTAGCAGAAAGAGAGGTAGCCAAGTGTAAAACACATATTTTCTGCTGACCAAGATCAGCAGCAGGGTACAAGGAAAGAGACAAGTTCTTCCGAAACAACCCAACAGGAAAGTTGGACATCTCCACTAAAGCAAACTGGATGGGTAAATTGGGCTTCCTCCCTTTTATTTTGATGCTATTGCTAGTGAATAACTGGGATTTTGCATTGGTTGCTCACTGAAGAGAGAAACAGATGTCTGTTAGCTTAAGTGTATAAATGAAGAGAAGAAAGGGCTATGTGTTATTCTTCCTGATTCACTAGACTCAGAGGGCTAGTAGCTTTTGAGTGTTAAGATAGTGAGCTCTGATTTATGCTATGCTAGTTAAACTAGTTATGAACTAGTGTCTGAGTACTAGTCCAGTATAACCTGTCCCCATCAAGTTGTGCATGCGTGTATGTATTCAGAAGGGGAGAAGGGAACAGTACCGCACAAAAACCTGCCCTCCAGCTGTACAGAAGATGAGCATTCCCCTCTGCTGGGGAAATCAAGGAATTTAAATGGGGTATGACCTTGTTGCTAACCAGTCACTGCCAGAGAGCAGCCAAAGTGGGCTGATCTGCAAGTAAAGGTGACCTGGGAGCCACGAGTGACAGCAAGCTGGGCAGGGGTTGTGACCTCAGGGACAAGGAGCACAGTCCCACAGTACCGAAAAAAGAGGAGCAGAGCAGATCCAGTGATGTTAACCAGGGTCAGCTAACAGTCAGTCAGTGATTGCCAGGCAAGTCCGTAGGAACAAGGCAAGCCAGGAGGTCAAGTTAGCAAGGCAAGGTAGGGATCACCATGGTAAAAGGCCAGGTACAGGCGTACCTGCAACAGAGTTAAGGTGAGGGCCTGAGCTTAAAGGCAGCTCCTGAGCCGAGAGGCAGAGGCCCTGGGCAAAGCTTCTTGCAGCTCTTTCTCCCAGATTCGCTGTTTTCACAGCAGTCTAATTTAGTGTTACGCAACTGTGCCATATGCGAGCTGACTTTGCGCCCAAGCAATTAAACCCCTGGCAGGGTGTTTACGGGGGCAGAAAGGTTGCAAAGCCTGTTGGCGCACTTAGGGCCCTGACACTCATTTCCTTATCTTTTACTCAGCCTGTTTGGATTTTATTGTATTTGCTGTGACCTTGCTGTGAAACCAGTTTGGACTGGTTCTGTAGGGTCTGAAGTGGAGTCAGTTCTGTACTGTTTACCCAAGCAGCACCACCACCATTAACTGTAGTGGGAGCAGTGCTTGAAGAAGGACTGAGATATTAATTAGCTAAAATGTGAAATGTGTGGCTGCGGCCAATAAATGCATTTCATTATTATGGTTACAAAATCATGGATCAGTCGGGCATAAAATGAGGTAGAATCCTGTAATAGACTAATGTGCTCTTTTTCCCAAGGCACTGCTTGTTCTGTGAAGTCTGGTTTTGCTTGCAAGAATAAGTATGTTTGCAGATGTTGTGTTTTTACAGAAAAATGTTAAAATTTCAATTAATTTTAACTTAATGATGACTCCTTCTTTCCCCCAGCTTTTATATGCTGAGCATGACGCCATCTGGTCTGGAACATCCCTTTGGTCAGTTGGGGTCAGCTGTCCTGGCTGTGTCCCCTCCCGACTTTTTGTGCCCCCCCAGCCTACATGTTGGTGGGGTGAGAAACAGAAAAGGCCTTGGCTCTGTGTAAGCACTGCTCAGTAATAACTAAAATATCCCTGAATTATCAACACTGGTTTGGTCACAAATTGGAAATGTAGCACCATACCAGCTACTATGGAGAAAATGAACTCTTTCCCAGCCAAAACCAGTATACCCACGTATTTCACATGTCCAGTAATGATACTACAAGTGCTAACACTGATAATCAAGTCATATCTTAAAGAAAGAAAAATAATCTACTTACATCTATATGTCAATACCCTGGATAGTAGAATGCAAGAGAGATACTGTCACTTTTTTCTCACAATCAAAATGGAAAAAAAAAAAGCTACCATTAGTCTAAAAGAAGCCTGTTGGCAAGCTGATTATTATGAGGGTGAAGCCAGTATGGTTGAGTTCAGTTAATGCCATGAATGTACTTAAGCTGCTCAGAGAATAAGTTAGGCTAGTTAGGGGAATCTGACAGAGTTTATGTTGACCCTCTTCTGAATACTTGCAAAATCCGCTCTTACTGAACTTAAATTGACTTCTGTACAGGGCAGAACTTCATTTTTAGAAACTACCACTCTGCCTTTATTTCCTGTCATTTCTCTCCCAGAACGATGATGTAGTTCATGAGAATGAAATGGCTAACAGAAATAAAGCAATATATTTCTGGGGTAAGCAACAGCTGAGCTATTTTAGGAAAGTACAGACCAACAGGATGAGTGGTTTTAACTTAAAACCTATGTAGTTCTTTCTGTTTCTGTATTGGCATATCAAGTATTTCATCACACTGCTAACAACAGAACAAGGAGTTTTGCTTGTTTGATTGGTTTTTTTGCATTGTATTTTATTTGTTTTTAAAATAATTTGTCTTCTTTAATTGATTTATTTTTTTCTTCCTGTGAGATTAAATTCAATAAGCTAACCCAAGTTTATCTTTTCAGCCAATGTTCTATTGTCCCATCTGTCACATTCACAGTGCTGGAGAAATTGCAAAGATCCGTGAAGAATGCAAAAAGGAAAGTTTCTGGTACAGATGTGAGTAATCCAAACTTGTTCTTATCACGCTGAGAACGACTTCTTGATGTACTTACACAAAACTGGCTGCAAAATGCCATGCCATTTATTGTAATACATTGGGTTTTGTTGGGGTATTATTGTGGGTTAACTCTTGTCGTCTTATTTTGAGTGATGTGTTATTATAGGGTTAATTGATTTATTCATGTAATCATTGCAGGTAAAGGTGGTTGAAGTAAGCTCTTGTTTAATATGAACTTACTTTAGCAATCATAGAGCTGGTTCTATTCTTGAAGTCCATTATTAAAACAACCTTAGGAATGTTTTACTTTATTACATAGTTATTCTTGCCTTTGAATGAAAGGCAGGCATGGCTATGTGTCTTGGGTTTGTGAAATTCTTTAGGTGTTAGGACATCTAAAACATCAGTTACTCAGTGCTTTAGTGCCTTTTAAGTCCACCATGTCAGTTTGTATCTAAATTACACATTTTCTGAAAGTAGAAGATTGAAAAGGGTTTCAGCATTTAATCAGTGCTGCTGTCATTACTAGTGGTGCAGTACTGAGAGGAGATATTCAGATTATGGAAGCTATTATTCAATAAATATATATTATGAATTAGCTCCAGGTGCTACAGCATGCTTGATGTCTGGCACTGTGTGAACACATCCTTGCTTTGAAGAGATAGTAATCTGAATGAGCAGATGTAATAGGTGATTAAGACAGTATGCAAAGTTAATGTTTAGAAGATGAGTAATGTGTTTAACATTATAAACATATAAAACATTTAATGTATAAAACATTTAACATATAAAAGAGTAATGTATTTAACAAATAGGTAACAAATTTTGGCTCATACCAGATTCTTTCCTCCTCTTTATTTTTACAGCTCTTCCTTTGTCTCTTGGGAGCATGCTTGTAACCCAGTGGCTAGCCTCAAAAGGTAAACATAAAAAATACGTGATGGTCCTCAGTTATGAAGTTGAGACTCTGGAATTACTACTGAAATGCAAGTTTCCCTAAAGCCTGCTGTTTTTCAAGATGAATATTCCTCTCACTCATCACCATCATTGTTATAGTGATTCGATCATTATGTATGCATTGCCACAGTCATTCTTTTGTAAGACTGTGAACTGAAAAGAGAATTCACTAGTTCAAAGACTGGTGGCTAGATTCTGTCACCATGATCACATGTATAGAGTCTTCACTGGGGTTGCTTGTAGGGCAGAGCATAGTACAACCTGAGCAGGGGCATTAGAATCAGGTACTGTAGCTGTAAGTGTTGGTTTATTTGAAAAATGCTGGCAATGTTTTTACAGTGACCATATATCAATATGAATACAGCTGTGGTGCAAAGGGACAAGGAATACTGCCAAAGTGAGGAGACAGAGGTTTTTTTATAGAGATTGCTTGCGATCTGCATGCTAAAACAAAAGAGAATTGTATTCCATTTCTGTTGTGGATGAGCCTGGTTCTACGAATTGCACCTTGAGTTTCCCTCTGGGGGTCTTGACTAATAATAAGGTTGAGGTTACCATTTTGGGTAAAGAGTGAAGGGCATCCACCCTGAAGACCACTAAGATGGGTGTATCCCACAGGAGCAAATAAGACAATCCTTCAGCCTGCATCAGTAACTGGTCAGAAAAGAATCCAGGGGCTCTAAGACATGGTTGGTGGGAGACAGCAAATGGAGGAGGTGGAAATGGCTCAGCCTTTTGTCACTGTGTGTGACTGCAAGTCCCTTGTTTTGTTCCAGCCACTATTACCATGTTTCCTCCTCATCACATTCATTTTCTTTTTTACTAAGATGATCAGGAGGACTAGAGTAGAAAACCTAAAAGCGGTGCCACGCCACAAGAGGCTGATGTGGGTTCCCTACTGCTTCCTTGACCTATGAGCTTTGTAGGCAGACAGGGAGGGAAGGAGCAAGGGAGAGTGTGTGCAGGAAAGCGAAGGATTATGCATTTGAAAAAGGGTGAGTAGTGGTAGGAAGGACACTGGGGTTTTCTCAGTAGCTAACATGTCAGCCTCTGGTACGGGGTACTCAGTTTCTCTCCGTTGTACTTGGATGTTTCTGATCAGCTGTGAAATAACAAATGCCCATATTAAATAATCATTACTGTGTGACAACAACTGGGGGAGGGCCTGTTTAGAAACAAACAACAGTTTTGTTCCTCCCTCCCCTGAGAGACCCAATTTAAAATTGCATAGATGCCAGTGGGGGAAGGCCCTTGCACTTAGCACAGACTGAATGCTCCTCTGTCTACGCACGCCTCTCCGATGGCTGCACACAGTACAGTGGCTCTAGAAGAAGCTGGAGCTTCTGAGCCTCATCAACACTGTCTGAATGCGCGTAACAGTGCAAACACTGTTCACTCCCCTTCCTTTTGCCATGGTAATCTTGCTGCAGGGAGCCCTCCTCCAGAGCATGGCACTCCTCTGGCAGGCCCACATGCACTCAGAGGCATACTGGTTCCACCTCCTGGTGTTTACTGGGGGAAGGTAGATTTTGGTGGGAAAAGCTAAAGATAATCTTTCGGTTTTCTTATTCAGCACACTGTATTCTCCTGTTACAAGGCCAAAATGTATGATCTCTCCTCTCCAGAGGAGGAGGCTAGATACCCATGGTACAGTTTAACACAAGTTTAATCAATAGCCACGGAAAACTATTGAAGAACAGTTTGTGCCTGCTTGTCGCAGCACAGGGAGCTGGACCCTGAGTGAGAGATTTCAGTTCGCTATTATATTTGCAAGGTTGGTTTGTGCTGAAAGATAAACCACCATCTCCTCCTCCGACAGTGCTGCAGGTGTCACCAGTGGCAGCTGTGCTGCTTTCATGTTGATTTACACTCCGAACCCCTGCCTGAACTGAATACTGCAAAGTCCAGATTTTCTTCCTCCTATGACTTAGGAATGCCCCAGAACAGATGCACTAAGAACTAGTGGAATAGAAAGAGCCCGGATGTCCTAAATTTGAGTTAATGGACTTTTAAATTTCTGTACAGCATTCACCTTCAGAAATGCAAAAGCTTGTAGGAAAAATACCATCTTGGTTTTGAATGCTGGTGAATTCCTCAAGTGAATAAGCTTTCTGACTATTCCCTTTTATTTTAGGCATTTTCTCAGCAAGCCCAAGATTTGGTGCATTACCTAAGATGGCAAGTAAGTTGTACCCAATTCTAAAAGGAAAGGAAAGATTGTTTACAGGCGATATGCAGACCTTGGATGCATCTCTCTGAATCTCTTTTCAAACTCTTCCTTTTTTTGAATTTATGAAATGTTACCGCAGTGCTTTAGGAAATCAGAATTCTGTTGTGTTTAAAAAGAAAGGTATGAAATAAGGTTCTTTTAATGTAAACATTTTCAGTAGCAGCTCATATTTACTTAATATATCCTCTCAAATTGGTAAAAACTCCGGTCTCACCTTTGTTTTATAAATAATGTCAGCCTCATTGATCAGCCATGCTTAGCAGATCACACAGTTTATGGTATCAAGGAGCCATCATAGTATAATATATAAAATAGTATGTTACTTTTCATATGTTCATTTGGCTCATCTTAACTAATTCATGACCATGTTGGTGAAGAAAAATAAAAGCACAGAAACTGTACAGTACAGTAAAGTACTGCCCTTAAATGGCAAGAAATGAAGTTGATTCCCTCTTCAGCAGAAGGTCAACAGAAAATTGAGGATGTTGAATATTTTTATTTTTATTCTGACTCTGTAATGAGTGAAAGCCCCAGTGCCAGAGTATGGCAGGCTGACATTCTAGCTTTTTAGAAGCCCAAAGAAGATAGTGTTAAAATTGCGATCATTGGAAATATACCATGGTGTGCATACAGGGGTGAGAGAAATTAGTGCTGATGTTGTGAATTAATTTCATTGTGGGCTTTCCCTATAATCCATTCCTCTCAATCTGAAATCTTGTCATTTCATATGAATATGGTGTCCTTTTCCTGTATGCATTGTTTTGGACCAGTTGCTATGTCTCATGATACGTAGCTGGTTTTCAATAGTTATTGAAATCATCCCTGTAATCCCTGTGTAACTTCACATGTGTTTGTGACATGTTTTGAGAAGACATGATACATGCAATTTGTCATATGATTAAAATGGAGCCAATTGCAGACTCTTGATTTAAGCTTCTGTATTAACAATGTTTTCTCATCTGTCTTTATAGTTGCTGAAGTCTTAAGTTTTGCCATTGGAAAGATGTCATGCATAGGAGAATGCTAAAAAAAGTTCCAGAAGATTGGTATTGTACCATTTGGTCCACAGCAAAAAGGGTTTGTACTTATTTAAATTATTAATCCTAGATCAAAATAGTCTAAAACATAGTAAAAATTATATGCAGCAAAGCTGTGAATTTAAATTCTGTGATCAGGTCATGAGGTACTACTCATATTCTTAGGCTATATATGACAATATTAGAACTACTAAATATTCTTCAGAAAATGCAAATTAAACTCAGTGTAATACATGTTATTAGGAAATCCATGATTTAAATGAAATTATCATACTTTTAAGTGTGATGGAACAGCAGTTACTAGTTCTCTTTTCATGTAGTATTGTGCCTCTAAGTGTCTTATGATCATCTACAATATCACTCGGCCCTTTGAGTCTTCCTTTGTACCATACATCGGGCCAAATATACTCCAGATTTTTTTTACACTAGCCTCATATTTTAACAATTTCAATGTCAGCCCACATTCCAACCTCCTCCTCTGCGGCTTTGTCCAACCTCATACTGTCATGCCAAACCATAAAGAGCACAAACTGCAAGGGGATTTTTTCCACCTTGCAACTCTATCCATATGATAGATCTCAATGGTCGCCTTCTGTCACCTCCATGTTTTAGTCATTGTTTTCTAAACTTCACATAAAGTACTCTTTCCTGTCAAACCACACTGTGACTTCCTTCCAAGCTCCTCCTTCAACTGCCAGTACTACTTTTCATTCTCAGTATGGCTTCTTACATGCACCTTTCACACACAAAATACATTTCCAAAAATCCTACCACAAAATCATTCTCCTCTGTCTTTCCACATCTTTCCCCCATATCAGCATGAGCTTTTATGCCTATGAAAATGCCTGACTGATAATGGGAAGCTTCTTCATTGTTCATATATCTCTCTACTTCCATTCTTCCCCCACATCACAAAGCTATTACTCTCCTCAGTTGGTGTTACACAAAGTGGCTATTCGTCACTCTTTTGTATTATGTGTCTTGCTCCTAACTCTGTTTGCTCATTATTGATAGGTACAATGGCAAGGACTGTCTTTTCCTGCTTAGAGAATCCTGTTATATTTTGGCAATTGCTGGAAACAGTAGTTAATAATAATTAACGGAGTTTTATTGGCTGAGACAATTAGATGTCATCTTTTGCAGTTTATGTCCCATAAAGCAGTTACAAAAATTGGAGAATATAGGCAAGAGATTACTTCTTCAAGAACATTTGCCAGCATCCTATATGGTTGTATTAGAAGAAATCCAGCAAAATTCTTGAATATTTTATCTGCTTTCAATATCGTAGGCATTGTCATCATACTTTTAAGGAATGTGAAGCAAAATTGGGATTGAATGAGAAAGAAGGTTCAATTCCTTCAGCATCTTAGTCCCAGGTAGGCAAGCTTGAAATTTAAAATAAATTCATATTTTATTTTCCATGTTGAGTGGTATTGTTGTATGAAACCTTTGGACAATATAGTGAAAATCATGGATTTTAATCACGGATTAAAATCTGAGCATTATTCAGGGAAATATTCTCTATCTATAGCTTCTAATTAAATTTGTTTCTTCATTTTTACCTTACATATCTTTCATGCTAATTTTAAATCCCCCATTTCTGAGGAATTTCTGCTTTAGCTGTAGCAGAGTATTGATTATTCACCTAATTGGCATTAATTTGGATTGACTACTTGTATGAAAACAAATATAACTCCCTTCAATTTCCAACTTTTTTACTTAAGAATCAAATAATTATGGATAATGTTGATATTTAAAAATACATTGAAATATTGAGAATCTAAAAGCAGGCACAGTTAAGGGTGGGTTGGTTTGTTTATTTGGGGTGTGTGTGGGTTCCGTCCAGTACTATGGTTTGGCCAGAGCCTTAGAGAGGGTAGTATAAGAGTGGTGCTGGAACATATACATGGTGGGGCAAGGGAGACATCCCATGTAATGTTTTTTCCCCGGAAAGGGGAAAGTTCCCTTTGTGAAAAAGGAGGCTTTACAGGGTGGAAGGCAAGGGAGTGTTTGAAAAGCACTTTCACTCTTTGTCTATGAAAAACAGGCCAGCAGCTGGGCTTTTAAAAAGCATTTTTCACACATTCTGCTTGTGGTAAGCTGGCCTACATTTCTCACAGGGAGGAGAATGTGTGAAAGTGTTTGCAAATAGCTTGGCTGCCTGCAAGAGAGGAGAGCAGAGGGCCTGTTTGAAATCCTGCCACGTGAGTTTGTTATGGCTCTAACTGTAGCTTGGAACAGAAGTCTGATGGAGAAATTTTGGACTGAGTCTCTTTGGCATATATTATGTAGGAATTTAGACAAGGATATTGACAATGGTGCCTTTCTTGCTCTAAAGTGCATGGCTGCAATCTATAAGGAGGAGTATCCTAGCAGGACCTGTTTACTTACCAGAAGAGAGATTTTGTTGGATTTTTACTATGCAACAGTATGTTACAGCAGTAAGGATTGTCCTAAGAAAGCCGTTAGAATAAATTCCTGGTTTTCATCAACTTTGCTGCTGCTTGATGATACTATATCAAGAGCTGCAAGCACTCAGCTGCTAGCAGAAAATGCACTTTGGCTTAGGCTCACCTAATAGGGTTGCTGCCAAAATGGGCAGCGCTTCTCTTGTACCAGCTGTAGAGATCGTGGAACAATGTGGCCCTCCAGATCAGCTCGCTGCTCTAGCTGGATATCAAAAGCCCATAAGAAAAGGGAAAAAAAATCATAGCCAGAAAACCTATCTGAGGGGTAACTTGCTAGTGCCAGCATGAAGGAGGGAGCAAGCTAGGCTTAGATAACTGTGAATGAATGACGCCCTAAATCCATTAGCAGTTGTGAGCTTAATTAAGCCCTTACACTACTGTGCTGATTAAGTGCTTTTGAAAATTTTCTCTTAAATAAATGTTCGCTTATGTAGGCCAGTGTCCTTACCTATTTCAAATAAGGACCCCAAAGCACATTTAATTGAGGATGGTCACTTACTAGCAATTACCTGTGTAGTGGAATCAAATGTTGATGGTGGGATTTACCTCCACTGTTTGTCAGAGCTGGAGCTTGCAGAACTCTAAATCCAAACACATTTTCTTTTTCAGCTTTTTCCATTTTTCAGCCTTCCTCCATGAGCTGACAGTATTTTTTCTGGTGTACAAGTACCAATTAGCTTTTAAATAAATTCCAAATTGTCTCAGATACAAAGGAGTCTTGTAGCTGTATGAAGGGAAGAATGCAGGATGCTACAGACCCCTCTGTTTTCCTCCTGAAACGGGTCCTGGAATTTCTGCTGTGGGACCTGTTCCCTGTTCCAGCTCAGATGTTCATCAAAGACCTTGATTGCTTTTTACTAGCCACTTAAGTCTTGTCTGTTGTTTAAAAGGGCTAGAAAGCTCAGTCAGAAACATAGTCTGAAAACAAATGCAAGACAAGTGTATTTCTTTCAAATTTTAATTGCTGGGAGGAACGAGCCATTGTATTTGTGCCAGTGTGGTATTTTGAATTTGCCAGAAATCAGTTTTCATGGACAAGTTTTAGAAACTTAGGAAAAGAAATACTCTAAGCATTGTGTTGTCTTCTGTATTGTTGAACAGTGAAAATAATAACCTCATAACCTCTTTTATGTTTTAATCAAAATTCTTCATTTAGCATGCTTTGCTCTAAAAATGTACAGAGACCCTACTGAGTGCATCTCACCACTATCCATGCTAAGCGTACATCACAAGCTCTGGCATTGCCTAGGAGGACCGCCTGGATAAAACTATACTCATGCTGATGAATCTAAGGGTAATTTCTTTTATCCTCAGGGACTTTGCAGAGTTCTTGGAGAAACTACGAAGAAGCTGCACATTTTACATCAAAACCAAGGTGCCACTCAGCTAAATAATGTTTCCTTTCATCCCATTTACAGATGTGGTGAAGATGATAAAAATCCTGTGGCTCAGCTTCTTCTTTCAAGGCCTTATTCTGTAGAGAAGAAATAATGTCTTTGGTTTGGTGTAAATAGGGTTATTGGAAGTGCTTGCATAGTGTTAGATAGTTCTGTTCATAGTAAATACCAATTTCTTGTAATGCACTTTTTAGTTTTTCTTCTCCTTACTCTTCTCAGCATGTTTTTTTTTTCTCCCTTGAGTGCAATTTAGTTCTTAGTGCTGAAAAAATAAATTTGTCTGTTGTACTTAGATGCTGGTAATACTTTGTGTAGCAAGCAAAATGCCATATGCTGGAATGTTTGTCTTCTACGTCAAAAGGAAAGAGTGCAAGGATGTTTAAATGATTTTGCAGTTAAGCAGCTGTCCAGTCTTTGAACTGACTCCTTGTTTATGGAGCGTTTTAAAAGTACTAAGCTAGAAGTTCATTACGGTATGGTCACACTGCAATTACTGTGCTGAACCAACTTTTAATAGGCCAGATTTACATAAAAATCCACTTTGCTGGGGATATCAAAAGCATGTGTCACATTCATAATGAGCAAGAAGATACAGTAGTTTGGAACAGTTTATGGTCTGGGCACAATCCAAGGTTAGTAGATGTTGAGAAAAAATGAGATGGCATGCACTCTATATAAACAGCATGACATACAAACTTTAATGAAGTATCTCAGGAAGTCAAGAGCAGACATTTCCCCTAAACACAGTGATGGTGTTCACATAGAAACCAAATGTACAGCTACTGAAAAGTTTGTGCTTCGCTGTTAGTTGGTGAAGCCCATCTTCTGTGGGTTTTTTTGTTTGGCTTTATACTATGCCTATGGTTAGTAATCCTCTTTTGAACCAGCTTCTTTGGGCATCTTACCTGGGCACAGAGGGATTCTGCAAGCAGGGTTATATAGAATGTAAAAGTATAAAGTAACTATTAATTGGCTACTACACACAAGAGAGATTCTGGATTTAACAACCTGTTAGGCTAACTGCTCACCACCCTGATAGGGCACTTGGAGAGTCTTTCCTAGCCAGGCAGCCAGCAGCTGGGAGGAGAAAGGTTACACTAACTAGCCTCTCTGTTTTTTTTTTTTTTCCTTTAAGATTTTATACCTTTCCAAATCGGTATTTGCCCTCTTGAATTCATGAACTGCTAAGAACCCCTGTCTGAACAGGGGCTTTAATTTTACACTTTCTATCTTTCTACAGACTTTTTCCACAGCTCTTTCTCAGCAGTCTGAGTCAAGGGTAGGTAGCTGTGCTGTATCAGAGCTGATGCTTGCTGTGCAGACAGGTAAGCCTTGGGGAGCCTTCAACTGGGGCTACAGGGAGAGGGGGTTACACAACCACAGAGAAGTCAGCCTCCTTTGTGAAAATAATATCATTATCACAAGTGTAGTGTGATAGCCAGCAAAACTTGTATGGTGACATGTCTTAGTTGCTTTCCCTTCATCTGACATCTGCTGTCAAGATAACAGCAACAAACTGCACCAAGGTTAGTCACGCCTGGGTTATCTGAGGCAAGCCGTTAGGTCCGTGTGATGCTGAGGAGGTTGATGCGTGTGACAGGCTGACCTTTCATGTCAGACTCTCAGAGGTTGTTCTTGTGGTCAGTGTTACCTGCTGGCGTTACAACTCAGCTACTTAGCTTTGCTTTAAATGTAATTTTGTTCAGGCTTCCTATTACTTTGCTGTAATAAATGTACTGTTATATAAAAACTATTGTCTCCTTTTTTTCTAAATTTATTTCCATACTTTGCAAGAAGCAATACTCTGATTAGCTAATTGTGTGGATGTAAGTTCTTGAGTTACTGTGACACTGTTAAGAAAAAAAGAGTGTTTGTGAATCTAAGATGTCTTAGCACTAAATTTGTGCGTATCAAAGGAAAAATTAGCACAGCTTATGGGTCAACTGTTCTTTAGAAGGTCTTTAAAGCATTTTTCTGTACTTCAGAGGATTTATGTCCAAACAATTTTTTAAGCCTGTCAGGTGTCAAGCTCCACATGATACTCCTTGATTTGAGAAATAACTGGGGGTATGTTTTGGCAAGGTTGTTATTTAATTTTGTTAAAATACAGTTTCTCAACCAACAATCTAGTCATGCGTGCAGCTGAGCTACAGCCTTTATAATGAGGTAGTAATGATGTTGCAATATTTCTTAAATACAACTTTAAAATTTTAAAATAATGTAAAATTTAAGTTAACTGACTCTCCCAAAAGCACCAGCTACAAAAGGATAGGGAAGATTCATAACTCATTCTGTACCATGTTATTTAATTTGACAAAACTGGAGCCACTTGGCTTTCATTGTGCTGTGACTTGCAGGTGTGTTGGAATTTTCCTGGTAGCTGTATGTGTGTTGTAGGGATGGAATCAGACAGATGCTGGATTTGTTAGCATTGGATGGCTTACAGGACCTAGTTAAACTTTTAAGCTTCTTAAGATTTGACAAATAAATATGAAAAAGTGCCTT